CCTAGCTAGTAATATTTTTATAATACGAGTAACTATATCATTAATCGATGTTTGGTTCTGGATAATTTTTTAAGCATTCGAGTATTGAATTAGCATTTTATAAGCAATGTAATGGCGTGACTATGATTGGTTAATACAAATTATTTCTTAAACTTAGAAAAAATTTATATTGTCTTTGTATTCATAATTTATGCAGTCTGTCATATTGTAGAAAGCTTAATTTTCTACCATTTTAGTTGATAAAGCTGATAAAAGGATAAGAAGAATATTCGAAAGTAAAGTTTTATTTAAAAATAAAACAAGAGTTGCATATACACGCGTGTCCGGGCGTATACGGTTTCCGCCCGGACACGCGTGTATATGCAACACTTGACCCGTATTGCACAGTGTTCCAGGCCGAAATACATGCCATAGAGATCTGTCTGAGAATCAATTTAGAAAGGGGGTATATCGGGCTCCCCCCTGTGCAGATTTTGTGGGGGTGGCGATGAGACCGCCGTGCACATTCTCTGCGACTGTCCGGCACTGGCTGTTCGGCGCCGCAATTGTCTTGGACATGGGTCCCTAAGTGTTCGGGAATTGTTGTCCAACTGTTGTTGTTGTGGTTGGGATGGGGATATTATAGGCGGGAGCGTGGGAGGGCTACAATAAGTCAAAAAATGGCTGCGTTGGCTTTGGTGGGTTACTTCTCTCCCACTCGGTTCCCTTAGAATCTACAATCTACAATCTACAATATTCAGGTCACTAAGAAAGTCCCGAATTGGCTTAAGTTTACATCGTGTTATAAACTAATAAAATAAAGTAATTCTTTAAAATTTTTTATAGTGTACCGTTGTAAGGATGATGATATTGACATTTTTTTTACTTCAAGAATAATGACATTTTTCTAATAATAATAATAGGCAATAAAATTTGTGAATTAAAAAAAAAACATGTCTAGAACGTATTTTACATGGAAACGCAGTAAAATGCAAAAATATGTCGGTATATAACGCAACTTGAATTTATATTGAATTGCTAACGTATAACAATATTATTTTTGTGTTAAACACAGTTTATTTAATTGATAGATGTTATTTTGAAATGTTATTTTATGATGAAATGGTTTTCAAATATTAATTTTAAGTAGTAATTTCGTAAATAAATTTTATTCACAATTCTTTTGATTAAATATAATAAATAATTATACAAGTGAAAGTACTTTTTAGTATTATATGGCAAGTCTTATCTTAAACTCCACATATATTATAATTCAATTTAAAATTATACCGTTATTACATTTCTGTTTTCTGTTTTTGGTCCAAGAAGTCTTACAAATATTAATTTTTTTAAAATAAAAAAAAAATCACTTTATTTTCCTTATTTACTACAAGTTATTACCTACTTTAGTTTCTTTTGACAAAATATGGGACATTATGGCAAAAAGTTCACATTTTCGTTTTACTTCAATAAATTTAAATACATGTGTGTACGGAAAAGTGTGTTTCAAAATAATTTTTTTTGGTATTCCAAAATGAAAGCAGGTTCTGTTGAGCAACATTTTTTTGATTTATTGTTTTAAAAAACTTTTATGAAATATTTAAACATTTCTTTTTATTGCGTAGATAATAAGAATTTACGGTTAAATTTCGAAATTCTTTTGTTCTTATAAAAGCCAAGCAATATCGCAATGTAAGAAATTTTTTAGAGGTCTGTGAAATAATTACGGTTCTAAAGAAAAATACGAGTAAAATTTTGAATTTTGTAATTAGGGCTTGAATTTCGCAATGAAAGTAGAAACAAAAAACAAAAATTATAATAAAATTAATTTATTAAAATTTACCTGAAAAGTTATCAATTTATCTGACTAAAGGTACTTGGAACATGTGGAAATTATTATGAGTGGAATTAAAAACAAAACAAAAATTAGGCAGCTTTTTTAAGATTTTTAAGTTTTTTGAAAAATTTAAAGTTTCGTAATTGAAAATTTCATCTTTGTTCAGTTATTGCTCAAAAATGATAAGCCTGATATTAATTTCTGACATCTAATTGGTATGTAAGTCTATTAATTGAGAAAAAATTCGCGAACAACACAGCGCTCTAGCTTCAAAAGCTTTGAATCAGTTGTGGATTATTGACAGAATTTTTTCAATTTAGTTTTCTTTAACCCTAGAGTACTCTTAACCCTCACATAAACATTTTCATTTCGTCAAAATTTCCAAGAAATCACTAACCGTGAGCTTTTACACTAGTTTCGAACAACCCCTAATAGATGACTATAAAAATATTAATAATATATTTTGAGGCCATTTTTAGAATTCAGAAGAACTATAATTTGATTTCGTAAATTTTTTGTTTTCCCATTAAACTTGTATTTTTGCAAATAGATGATATTTTGTAAAAAGGTTCTTAAAAAATATTAAAGTTTTTTTAATTTTTCTTAATAAATTTTTTCAATAATTTTAAGATTATTAATTTTTTAGATATTACAATCAATCTAAATATTCCTACATAATTAATTCCTTTTGTGAAAAACTCAACAAATTCAAGACAATTACATAATTATTTCGAGCTGTAATTGCTTTCGTAAATACATAATTTTCTAATTAATACTCACTTTTACATATAATTGCTAATTTTACATGTTCAATCATAATTACAAATTAATAAAGCAAAAAAATTTACACGAATAAGCAAACAAATTTAATCTTTTAAATTAAAAATAAAAAATATTTTAAATTGAATACAAAAAAAAAAATAAGCATACATTTTTATTGTAATATTGTTTACTTTATTTATGGAAGGTATGACAACCCTAAACAAAAATTAGTAATTTCATAATGCTTCGTAAAAGTGGAATACTCTGCAGAACAATGTAAAATAATTGAATCATAAAATTATTTTAAATGAGAATTTAAAAAGGCACAATCTGTTCTGAATAGACCGAACTGAACTTACAAAAACAACAAATTTCTTGAAATATTAAAAATTATAATCACTAGTATAGTACATTTTTTATTGGATTATGTAGGTTAATTTTTCACAAAAAAAAAAATAAAATAAAATAAATTAAATACAAAAAACAGTACCAATTATAAAGAAAAATAATAAAAATATAAAAAATAATTTCCACAAAATTTTGATAAACTACTTAACTACTAAACCAGAAAACAAAGTTACTTGACACGGTTATAAAACCTAAACGACCTAAACGTACACAATACGTTAAAAATGCTAAGGTACTAAAGCTTTTATTCTCTGTTTTTGCAAAAAAAAAAAAATGGGAAAAATATTTTTATTTATTAAATTATGAAATTCAGTTAAAAATTTTTGTAATTTAATCTTTAAGACTTTCTATTCAAACAATCAAGTATAGATCACATACAGACATACTTGCTGTGTACTTTTTATTTTAATTAAATTTTAATTTTTCAATTTAAATTTTATGTATTAGTTTAAAATTTAGTCCGAGTTTTGGAAGTTTTTTTTAAATTACACTAATACTTTAAGTTTTACGCAGTGGTGTTAAACATTTTATTCTTCATCGACTTCATTAAAATTCATGTATATTGCATACATTTGGGAGAAGAATAAAAATTACAAGAAAAAATAACAAAATGATCGAATTCGACGGCTAAATTTTGTGAGTTAGGGTCGTAGTAGTTTTTGGTAAAACATTTTATGTTATTTTTATGCTTTCATAGAAATTTAGAAAAGCTTACACTAACGAAAAAATGAGGAGTCGCAAATTGGATTATTCGAAATTCTCGAAGAGCGAAGGAAGATGAGAATAAAACCAATTTCTAATTTAATTAATTTTTCATCAATGTCTAAAAGCTCCTAAAACTTCAGATTCTTAGATTTTACTGTCTATGAAGAGCATAACTATGTTCAAAGTTAAAAAATATTTTAACGAGTCCTTACGGTTAGTCTCAGCGGTTATTTTGGCATTTCGAAACGTTAACATATAAGTACATAATTATTTATCTTCGTTTGCGAAATTTTAGGCATTGAAAATTTTGGCATAATGTATAAAATTTCTAAAAGTCGTAGGGTCATAACTTTCACTGGAAAATACGTTTCTATATAAAAGATCCATTTCGGTGTAAAATATTAAATTTCTATTTCAAAGAGTGTACAATCTGAAAAAGATTATGAAGAACGCATGAATGGACGAAAGAAGTGAGTAAAATTAATAAGCACATTTTTTTCCCACTTTTCTTGGTAATGTGCTAAAAATTTTCTTTTTCATTTTATTAGCGTAATTTGTTGTTAATATTAAAGTACTAACGGTTATTCCTTTGTTATTACAAAATTCGCATATCCTGGAACAGCAGCGTAAATGAATCTTTTTCATAATCACAAACACTTTCTCTTAGTTAATTTTTCAAAATGGTCAATATATAGATATTTTCTGAAATGGTCATATAATCTAAAAAATTATTTTAAGATATGTCCTAGTTTATCTCACTAAAATTTTAAATAAATAAAATTAATTAATTTTAATCATACTTCGGTCCATAATATTTGACTGACTCCAAATAGGAGGCAACACGTTTCTTTTGTTTAAAACAATTAATGTAATGCCATCTTTTAGAAATATTAGAGTAAATATAAGAAAAATTTAGTTTCTTCTTTGAAAATTTAAGATTGTACTAAAAAATATTTTTTTTCCCTTTTTTCCTAAACTCACATTGAACGTCGGTTCATTTGTAGCAGTGTAGATGGCCTTCTATTTTTCCACTCTTATAATATTTTGTCAGTTGTTTTGAAGTTTACTTTAAAGAAGCTGTGAAAGGAGTATTTTGGTATAGAAACAAAGGCATAAAGAGGGGAGGCATGGGAAATAGTCGCTGCCCAAACAAAAGTGTTAAGAGGACTGTTAAAACTTTTACAACTTTCTAAAATTATGTAGCAGAAATTAATTTTTGTTTTAAAACTTTTAAATTTCAAAATGAAATTAATTTGACAATTATTTTTTGAACTTAACTCAAATAATAATTTTTTTTATTTTATTACAGATTGATGACATGAAAGATTTTCAAATTATTGTTTAATTTATAAAAATTATTTGAATTATACTAGAATGATTATGTACAAATCTAGAACAGATTCGTATTTGAGATGGGAAAATTTAAAAATTTTACAAGAATGCAGAAAAATTATAAAAATTATAAAAAAGTCAAATTAAAATCCAAAGCATATTATGCCTCCTATGTGTTAAGTGTACTTTTAATATTATTTATAAATATAAGTTTAGCTAATGCCAATCGTCCGCCTCGATTTGTAATTAGAGGCCAAACCGAAATTGTATTAAGATTAAAAGAATCACCTGAAACTCCAGTAGGTAAGTAATAGTCAAACTATTTTTATAATTCTTATTATAATTATTTAGAATTGAAATTAAATTTATTAAATTTATATGTAGGAACACTTATCTATCACGTTAGAGGATATGATCCTGACAATGATGTTTTAACATTTGGTGTGAAACCTTCACAAGACAGTGATGTTATTAAAATTGAAAATTCAGGAAAAAATGAAGCAAATATTTATTTAGCCAAGGAATTAGATCGAGAGGTTAGATGGCATTATTTTTATTAAAAATATTGCAAAATAATCAAATTATTTTTTTTAATTTTTGTTTTTAGACCAAAGATGAATATTCAATTGTTTTAACATTAACCGATAATCATTTTGGTGAAGATAATTATGTAACGCAAAGTTTTTTATTACTAGTCGAAGATATTAATGACAACGAACCAATATTTCGTCCATATCAGACAGCTGTTGAAATTCCAGAAAATAGTCCAACTGGTATAATAACTGCATTAGAAGCAACTGATCGAGATGAAGGTGCCTATGGACAAGTAGTTTATTATTTGCAAGAACTTGACGGAGATAATGAAATATTTTCGATTGCAACTTATCAAGGAAAGGGAATTTTACGTCTAGTTGGAAATTTGGATTATGAACGAAAAAGTCTTTATCAACTTCGTATTTTAGCAATTGATAGAGCAAATCAAGGTCGAGTTAATACAGGTACTGCAGCAATTCTAGTCAAAGTTAAAGATATTGAAGATCAACCGCCAGAATTCATTCATACACAATCAGTAGCTAGAATATCAGAAGATGCTGCACCTGGAACAAAAGTATTGCAAGTTAAAGCAATCGATGGGGATCGAGGTGTTAATAATAAAATTAAATATTCAATCGAAAAAAATAATATTTTCAACATCGAAGAAGATACTGGTGTCATATTTACCACAACGAATTTAGATCGTGAAAATGATCAAGTATTTAATGGAGCTTATATTTTAAAAGTATTAGCGGTAGAAGTTACAAAACAGAGTGTAAGTCGCAAGAAAATCAATAAAGTTTCAATTTAAATTACAATTCAATAAAATGTTTAATATTAATTTCAGCCACCGCCATATGTTCGTACCGAAATTACAATTATAATAACCGATATCAACGATGAGAAACCTACTTTCAAAGAAAGTACTTATAGTTGTGAAATCAATGAAAACGCACAATTAAATTCACCTGTACATTTTTTAAATAATGCCAAAAACGAAGTTTTTGATCATGATGTTGGCAATAATGGAACTTTTAGATTATTTATAGATCCTGACAACGATATTTTTAAAATAACACCAGAACTAGCTGTTAATGAAGCTAGTTTTTTAATAACCGTTAAGAATCCCGATTTATTAGATTATGAAAATGTAAATGAATTGAATTTTACAATTGTTGCTGAAGAACTTGCTCCAGAACGAAAATGGAGGTAATAAGAACAACAGAATTAAATAGTTTTTTTGAAATATATTGTAGTATTTAATAGCTAATTTATAACTCATTAGTCATTATTAAATAAGCTAATCTTGACTTTTCATTCACCATAATTAAATTTAAATTTCTTAGTTTTTCTAATAATATAAGAATGTTAAATTTTTTCCTCTTTTTTAGTACAGCTGAAATTCAACTTTTTATTAGAGATTTAAATGATAATTTTCCGGAATTTTTGGGAGCACCATATGAAATCTCCATTTTGGAAAATATAGAACCAGGCACTGCAATAGCACAAATACGAGCAATTGATAAGGACTCTGGTGATTATGGAACAACTGGAATTAGATTTACTCATCTGAGAGGGGGAATATCTCATTTGTAAAAATTTCATAATTGTATTTACTAATGCCCATTTATGAATAAATTTGACTTTCGTTTTCAGACTCAATTTGGATCCAATCACCGGATTAATATCAATTCAGGCAAATGATGGTAATGCCTTCGATAGGGAAATGAATTTGCGACATTATTTAACAATAGAAGCCCGGGATAATTTGGGTCGTGGAAATCAAAATACTGCACAGTTAATAATTAACATTGAAGATGTTAACGATAATGTTCCAACCTTTTTTCAACAAAAATACGAAGCTAAATTACTTGAAAATAATTTAAATTTTGAAATTCCATTATATCTTGAAGCTAGAGATAATGATTTGAATGGAACAGAAAATAGTGATATAACGTTTGAAATAGTTGGTGGCTTACTCACAAAGAATTTTACAATTGATCCCAAAACAGGACAACTTAAACCGAAAACTCCCATTGATTTTGAAGATTTACAATTAGGATATGACAATATTCAAGCTATAAATTTGACAGTAAGGGCTAGAGATTCAGGAATGCCAATTTTATGGTCTGATATTAATGTTACGATATACATTCAAGACATAAATGATAATACACCAATATTTGAAAAAAATTATTATTCTAAAGTAATTCCTGAAGATTTGCCAGCTGGTAGTTCTATTTTAGCAATTAATGCTTTAGATAGGGATGGATCAAAACCAAATAATCTGATTGTTTACAGAATACAATCAGGAGCAGCAGATAAATTTATAATTAATGCTGATACAGGAGTAATTTATACAGCAGATGGTGCCAATTTAGATCCAGATTTCACAAGTCCAAGAAAGGTTTCATATTCATTGGTTGTCGTAAGTTTCTCGAATATTCAACTGAATTTTAAACAAAACATTAAGTATTATTTTATTATTACTCATACAATTTTCGTAATTAGGTAGCTTTAGATGGTGGACTTGGAGATTCTCAGCTAAGTTCTACAACATTCGTTAATATTACAATCAAAGATGTTAATAATAAAATTCCGGTTTTCACTGAATTTCTAACCCTCAAAATAAAGGAAAACACCCCGGTTGGTACTGTTGTTTACAGAATAATTGCCACAGATTTAGATGAATCACCGATACTAAGATATCGAATTAATAAAAAAAATTCTGAAGCTCGAACTGATGAAGGGATTTTTGTAAAATTAAGTGAATATGATTTTGTTAGTGCTTTTGAATTAAATTCTGTTACGGGACTGCTTAAGGTATAAAATATCAAAGAAGAAAATAAAAAAATTTTTCGAATTTTGATATTGTTTTTGGTTTCTATAATTCAAAGGTTGCAAAACTGATCGACAGAGAAAAAGTTGAACAAATTAAATTAGCAATTGTTGTAGAAGATTTAGCTTCAGCTACGGGACCACAACTAAGAGAATGTAAATTTATGAATATAAAAATCATACAAAAATTTTCTAGGTTTAGCTCAATTAATTTTACTTTTATTTTATTTAACTATTCTATATTTTTTTTCTTCAGCTTTGCTTACAATACAAATAGAAGACGAAAATGACAATAACCCCAAATTCAAATTACCATTTTATAAGAGATCAGTACCAGAAAATAGCATGAATGGAGTAACGATTGGGAATGTTGTTGCGTTTGATCTTGATAAAAATCGCACTATCACATATTTCTTAGAAGGTTCACTGAAAAACTTGATTAAATTAGGAAGATTTTATAATTTTAAAAATTTTTAAGGTGATCCTCGAGTGACAGGCTTATTACATTTAGATCCAGAAACTGGTGAAGTTGTTGTAGCAAATAAGATAGACCATGAAGAACATCAATGGCTTAATTTTACTGTGAGGGCTACAGATTCTGGATACCCGCCAAGATCATCTTTAGTTGACGTTTTTGTTTCTGTTTTAGATGAAAACGACAATAATCCTTATTTCATTACAACAACAAAAAATTTTACTATTCTTGAAAATTCTCCAATTGGCACTAGAATAGCTACAATTCAAGCAGCAGATTCTGATTCTGGTGATTACGGTAAAATAACTTTTCTCATGGATCGTATTAGTTCGCAAGTATGATATTTTTTATATCACAATCAAAAATTCACAATTCTTGTCATTGCTTATAATTATAAACTTTGTATTCGAAGGGAAAATTTACAATTGATGCCGATACTGGAGTTTTGACTACTGCCGACAAAATTGATAGAGAAACAAAAGATTTTTATGTTCTTGTTGTAGAAGCTTGGGATAACTATCAATTTGGTTATGCAGCTGGAGAAAGTCGAAATACTTTCAAACAAATATTGTAATATTTGGTTTTGTGTAAAATTTTTAAAATGAGAAAAGTTCTATTTAAATTATTCTTAGTGTTAACGTCTTAGATGAGAATGATTCTCCACCGGAGCTTTCGTTACCAATAGGTTGTGTTCAAATTACAGAATACCATGATACCAAAGAAGTAATTGCGACCATAAGAGGTAAAGATGCAGACGATCCCCAATTATTGAATGGCAGAATTGAAATGACTATAATAAAAGGAAACGAAGAAAGTATAAGTTTTTCACAAACTATCAAAAAATATGTAGTTAAAATTTTTTTCTTTCAATTTTTTCCAGGCCTATTTCAATTAACTCAATCTGATGCATGGACGGGTCAATTATACGCAAGAAAATCTTTAAAGAATAAATATGGTAATCATTCTCTTACAATATCGGCAAGAGATTTGGGAACTCCATCTAATGTCGTAAAGAAATCACTAGACATTTGTGTTTCTGATTTCAATGATCATCCACCAGTATTTATTTCTCCAGCACAAAATACTACGATTCGTGTACCAGAGGTAATAACTGTTTAAATTAAAATTCTTTATTTTGGTTTTAAACATAATGTTTTTACTAAATTAGAATGCTACAATTGGATCGTTAATAATACAAGTTTATGCAACAGACGAAGATGTTGGATTAAATGCGCTTGTTAGATATAAATTAAAATCCGATCCTTTAGGAAATTATAGAAGTTTTGAAATTGATTCCGAAACAGGAATGCTATTTTTAAAGGAAAAGCTAGATCGAATGAAACAAAAAATTTATGAGGTAATTTTTTGAAAATATATTTCTTAGAAGAACGAGATGAACTCACTTACGTTTTATTTAATATTTTAGATAAGAATTGAAGCATATGATCAAGGTGTGCCGACATCACTAAGTTCTGATTTAGATCTTGCCATATATGTTAGAAATGTTAATGACTATGAGCCACAATTTCTTGTCGAACAAATATCAGTAAATTTTACAGAGCACACAGAACCTGGCTATGAAAAAATAAAATTACCAGATACAATAGAACGAGATGAAATCGATGATTTAGATGACCCTCCAAGTACAGTTTGTTATTTTATAATACAAGGAAATGAAGAAAATTTATTCGCTTTGGACCAAGAGACCCACATTTTATCAGTTGTTAAAGAGTTGGATAGAGAAGTGAAATCAAATCATACTTTATATATTAAAGCTACTGAAAGTTGTTCAAGTCCAACTGGTAATCAGCAAGAAGAACTATTATTACGAGAAGAATCAAAAAATTCTAAAGAGGCTGTGGAAATATTTCCACTTCGTTTGTCAACAAATTACCGGAAAATAAATTCAAATCGATTCCATAACTATTTCAATAGATATAAACAATCACGGAAGCTTCGAAGTTTATTAGAAAATAGCAACGTTTCATTACCTTTAACAATGACGGATGAAAGTTTAATGTCTGATGGAACTGTTGTCAGAGTTTTTATTAAAGTGCTTGACATAAACGATAATCAACCAAGATTTATATCAAAAATTTTTACTGGCGGATTCACTACTACAGCCGATTTTGGAACAAAATTTATGAAAGTTGAAGCTTATGATGCAGATGATATTCCAAATGCTTTATTAAATTATTACCAAGTTGGAGAAATTCGACAAACACTTACCGAAGGCTTAGAAAATGTTGAAAATACACCATTTTTAGTCGATCAAATAACTGGAGACATTCAATTAAATTTTGATCCCCAAAAGGGTATGAAAGGTTACTTTGATTTTATGGTTTTAGTCAATGATACTGGTGGTTTAAAGGATACCGCTCACGTGTTCATTTATTTACTAAGAGATGATCAAAAAGTAAAATTTGTTTTTAGACAGCATCCACAATTTTTGAGAAATAAAATTCATAGATTTAGAGAGTAAGTTGAAAAATATTTATTTATAAAATTTAGTAAAAATTATTTCAATAATTTTTGTCTATTTCAGTGCTTTAAGTAACGTTAGTGGAGCTATAGTAAACATAGATGAATTTAAGGTGCATGAAAATAAGGATGGTTCTGTTGATAAAACAAAGACTGATTTATATATGCACTTAGTTGATAAGGAGGATAATTCGATTTATGAAGTGGATGATGTTCTAAATTTAATAGATAAAAATGTAGAAAAACTTGACGATCTATTCAAAGAATTTAATGTTCTTGATACACAAGCTGCTGAAACTGAATTATTAGTTGCAAGTATTAGTAAAGGACCAATGTATATATGGCTAATATTTTCAAATATATTTATTGCCACTTTCTTAGTTATTGTACTTATTTTATGTGCTTCACAAAGGAGGAGTTACAAGAGGCAACTAAGAGCTGCTAAAGTTAATATATATAGTACGTAAATGATAATTTCATTTTCAAAATATAATTTAAAAAATATGCTAATAAAATGATTTTTTTTTATTGTAGATCAAACATCATATGAAACAGCACCGCGTGAATCAAATACTAGAGTACCAAACACAAATAAACATAGTATTGAAGGATCAAATCCAATTTGGTTAAAGGGTTATGAAAATGAATGGTTTAAAAATGATGATGATCAATATAAAAATTCTGATTCTTTTGATGAAAATATACTTGCAGCTGCTATTACATTAAAACCGCCAAAAATGTTTGATGGTACAAATGATTTGAATCGAACTTCAAATTCTTATAACCAAATTAATAAATTAACAAATAATGCTCAAATGTTAATTAAAAGATTAGAGACAACAGAATTATAGCAGTGAAAGTAACAGGTGTATTTTTAATAACCAGGAATGTTTATAATTTATATTAATGAATAGAACAAATGTTAGATGTATATGTAACAAGATTATATTATTTAATTAGCTTTAATTTTAATTATACTTTTGATAATAAATTTATTTAAATTTAATTTGATTGTAGGAAATTTAGTATAAATTCATTGTGCTTTTGCAAGATAGTAACATAATGTAAGCTTATAACAATTATTACGGCAATGTTAAATAATTGATGTTAAACAATTGACGAAGCTTGTGCTGAAGTATGCAACTGTAATGGCATTTGCAGTTGCATATTTTTAAATTTGCTTATTTTAGGACAATCAAAATTTTGGTCATTTATAAAATAATTTGATAATTTTCGTATTATAGCTATTCAACACTCAATATTCGACATATACATGTATCTAAAATTTGATTAGAATTATTAAACAAATTGAAAAAGACTATCATTGTATATTATATACGTATGTACAATAAATAATTTTGAGCTTACTTTTAGAACCCTAAAATTTGTAATGAAAAATTGAATAAATTCTTTAATATTCTGGATTTTAATACATTAACCACGGATCAAATCAATGGCTTGTGTAAAGTAACGCTTTTTCCTTGAATAAGTGAAAATTTTTATTTAAAACAATAGACAGATCTTCAATTGATTGTTATCACTAATTAACCAAACATTATTTTATGCTTTAAAAAACTATTGCATAGTTTTAGGGGAATCAGTAGCAAATTAAGAGTAACAATTAAAAGTATTACACTAACGCTTATAAAAATCGAATTTCATAAGAATTTACAAGACATTTAATTTTATTTAATTGTAATTCGAAATTTTTAGCTAAAATTTAAATTTTGTTAATTTGAATGGACCATCACATGAGGTTGCAGGAAAATGGAAAAGAAATGCTTTCATTCTCAACGTTTAGAACATGATAAAGTTTTATAGCACTATGGCTTGGCGTCTATTTGTTTTTCAAAATTCAAAAAACAAATAGTTTTTGCGACGATAATTTCATCCACCCATTTTGCCACTGTGTTAATGATATTGTATGATATTTTTAGAATTTGAAGAAGTTGCTACTTTTAGAAGAGGGGAGATAGACGTAAATATTCGTTTATATAGTGAAATACGTTTCTATTGAATATCTATGTTTGTATATGAAATTTCAATTCTGCATCATTGTCTAACACAATTGTATATAAGCTTGTGTTTGAGAAAAATTAACACTGAATATGTTATATGCAATTTTCGCATTAAAAGTTAAATAAATCACCAATCTCTTCTTAAAATCTCTTAGTTACGTAATTTTAGTTATACTACCGCGAAGGAACGACATAAGCAGTAAAATTTTCGACAAAGATCGTGTAAAAGTAGATATTTTAGTCAGAAAACGTACTGTTCAATTACTGTTCAACTCTTTAATTGTATTGAATTTTAAAATTGTGTGACTGCAAAATTTTTATAAAAAGAAATTATAAGCCAAATGTTATGTTGATTTAACAATTTTTATTACTTTATTTTTTGTGTTTTGTTACCTTTTTTGTTACTTAAGCTTACAATTATTGTATACAATCACTCAATTAATGGAATCCGTTTATGACATTATGGTTAACATCAAATTCCATAAATTTATTAGACACACTCATATTTTATAAATTTTTAACAATTTTACAATATCCTAATTAATTTTTAACACTAATTATAATATTATATAAATAGCGTATATATATATATATATATATATATATGTATGTATGTATGTACATAATACAATTTTTAAAACGTGTTAAAACACATTTTGAATTTTAAATAATTTAAATAAATAAGTAAATATATAAATTTATATGTATGTATATAAAAATAATTTATAATGCAAACTAAACGAAAACAAAAAATGAAATAAAATAAATAAATAAATAAAACAAAAAAGAAGAAAATTTAATAGAAAATTTAAAAGAAAATAATTAAAATGAAAGCAAAATTCCAATTTGAATTGTGCGGTCAAATTAAAGATCACGCATTTGGTAATGAATTGGAATAAAATAAACGACAATAAATGACAATAAGAGAATTTGAAAAGTTGAATTCGAAAAACTATTAAAATTCTGAACGGCATCCCTATTTTGACTTTTACTGAATGCTTTTCTTTTTTTTTGGTTTTCTTTTGGTTTTTTTTGTTTTGTTTGCCGGAACGTATTCATTTTAACGGTATTAAATTTTTGTATTTGTTACTTCCAATGATGGTATCAATAGTTAAATTGAATTGATTGTTACGGCCATTTTTAAATAAAAAATTTAACCTCATTTGTTATATTTTAAATAAATGACAATAGGTATATTAGGCTTTAACTTCTCTTTTAGGTGAATAGAGTTGAACAATTCTGTTATTATCAATAATAAGAGACAATTGAAAAGAAAAAAATAAAAAAAAAATAAATAAATGTTAAATACCACAACTATAAATATGTGAATGGTATGTGTGATACTTACTTTTCATAAGGGTACTTCTTATCAATCACATCGACAGTTCGTTGAAAACGACACCAAATTTGATCACGTTCACAACCTTCATATTTGCGAGAGAAAGTTTCCATTGCAGTTTTTGCAAATTTTGTTACTTCATTTATTGTTTCATTTAATTTTTCTATATAAAATTAAATTGAATATTTAATTAGAATTAATTGAATTGGAAAAAATCAATAATTTAATTATTTTAACTAAATCTGTATGTATGTATATTAATATATTTGTTTTACCTTTATCAGTTCCAAAATCTCTTGATTCAGCTGATGATGCATCTTCCATCATATCTTCACTAAATAAATTTTTTAATTTTGGCAAGAATAATAATAAACAAATCATTGCGAAAAATTTAACAATTTTTTTAAAAATTATTAATTTTAAAAGAAGTTTCCCAATTGTAAATAAATCAATTTTAAGTTTTAATTTATCTAACCAAGTCTCTTCACGTGGATGATGATGATGATGGAAAAATGGTGGAGGATGATTAATATATATATGTGATGGATGTGGTGGTGGACCATATATTGGTTTTGGTGCTGGTGGACCATATACTGGTGCTGGTGGTGGTCCATATTCTGGTACCGGTGGATATTCATAACCGGAACTAGCATGAAAACTAACATCAGCTACACGTTCTGATGCTATAAAATGAAAATTTTGTATATGTATAAAAAATTTGTAAAAGAAATTCATATAAAATAATTAAGATAATATTTTGCCCATTTGAAGGAATAAAAAATGCATTCTCTTTCAATTTAAGAAAATTTTTAACAAAATTTTCAAATCATTTTTTATTTTTAACAAGACTTTTGCTTAAGGAAGAGGTTTTTATCCATTAATCAGAATAAGAAGAGTAAAAATTCACAAATTGCATATTTTCCGAATTTTTTCCTATTACGTAATAACTTTCCTTAACCAGTTTTTAGGAAGTCATCAACTACTCTTCTAAGTAATTCTAAGTAATTTTCTAATAAATTTCAAGGTAAATTTTACTATAAAGATTTCAAGGGAACACCAATTGAAAAAAAAATTCCGAAATTTTGAATATTCATCGAATCAATTTCTGTACCCGATAGCTGTAAATTGAAATTTAAAATACAATGTAATTTTATAATTATTGCGAATATTTGCGATTAATGTTATTTAAGATAACATAAACCAATTCTAATGTAGGAACGCAACCTGGATTAGCGTTTTTACTTCCATTTTGAATGCAATTCAACAGGCTATTGTTACTCAGTTAATTTTCTAAATTTTCTCGGATCTTTCTCCTTCCTGAGGCTTAAATTGTTTTTTTTTTTTCAATTAATAATTCATGTTTTCCATAAGTTTCCTTTACAATTGATTTTAAAAATTCAAAAGTCAAAATGTCAAATTATAAAATCTACACCTTCATTCTTCATATCTTTGATTTTTATGGCTTTTAAGAAGCAGTTCCTCATCTGCATTTATACTTCTATGTAACACTTATTTGACAAAGACCCCAAAATAATTTATACACAAACGTATTAAAAAATGTCCTTTTTTTATAATTAGGAGAAAATGCTCGAATTAAAATTTTAAAATACTTAATGATTATTTAGTAGAAAAATTTCGGAGTTATTTTAAATTTAAAACTTGTTTTTACAAATAAATTTTTTTCATTTCACTTTTTTTGAGCTCATTCTGCAGCCTCAACATTAACACTAATTAAAAGAAAAATATGCAATATTTTGTATTAATTAAATGAAAATCCTTTTTGGCTAAATATTTGAATCCTTTACATATAAAAATGCCCATTAATTTTAATTAAAAATTCTTAAAAATAAAATAAAACAATTAAAACAAAATTTTAACAACGCACCGCCATTATTATTGCTCTGATGCGAATTTTGCAATGCGTTCAAATATGAATCCTGATTTGAAACTTCACTGCTAACAATAGTTAAAATTGTACAGAGGTAAATAAAATTCACTATTTTTAACATTTTTATTTTTTTATTTATTTTTTATTTATTTTAATACTTTTTCTTATTTTTTTCTTTTAATTACGAATGAATTTTGTTAAAAATAAATAAAATGAAGTTTACCACCGGAATTGATAACGTTAACTAATCGCTTAAAAAATTTGTCAACGGTATTTAAAAGTATTTCGGAAATCGGAATTTTCTGTTATAATTTTCCGTTTGTTTATTTAAATATGGTTGTAAACCAATATTTACATATATGTTGGTATGTAATTTTGTTTTTTTTTTTTAATGAAGCGCGTTTTTCGCGTAACTTTTCCAATACAATAGATTAAAATAAATTAGCCTGCGCGCACTTACTTTTTTTTTTATTTTTATTGTTAAAGCAGGGTTTATTCATCACTTAATTATTATTTTTCTTTTAATTTTTCTTTTTTATTATTAACAATTATATTTCTTTTTTTTTTGATGATGAATTGTACTTATGTGACAGATTTACTTACGTACTTTACTCATTTATTTGTCATTATAACAGTTTATATTTTGTAAATTACATGCTAGTAATATGCGTGTGTAAATGTGTAATATTTATTTAAAATAACTTCTGTTCCGGCAGTCAGTATCTTCGTTATTATCCACTTGTATTAGGAAAATCAGAAGAAGATATATGAGAATATAGCGCGTGTACAGTGTGTAACAGAGTTATGAATTTTGATTTTTGAGATATGTAAAATTTTTAATTCATTATAGATAAATTATTAATCACATTAGTCACAGACCATTATCGCTTTCTTAACAATTTAATAAACTAATTTTAGCAGTTGTTCCAAATTTGTGACTTAGTTTTCCCAAAATTCCTAGAAAAACACTATTTTTTATGTAACACATATATGACTGACATGGCCCTATATATTAAATTTTTTTTTTTCTTGACAAGATGTGTCTGTCTTATATGTTTGACGCATCCAAACAAAATACGACAAGACACAAGAAATATAATGCAAATGTATCGTTTGCGTCGGACATCTGTGATTGACCTGGCCTTCTACCAAATCGCATACATCAGACATATATGTTTGACATGGGTCATGTAGAACTTATTAGCGTCGAACACATATGAGTGACACGGCGATTAAAGTGTTAAATTTCTCAATTTTTCATATAAAAATCTTGTATATAACAAATTTAATTCATAAGATGTGCGTGCACTTATTCCAATAAATGGCTCTATATGTATATTATTATGTGAAAAATTAATTTCAAATTCTTAATGTTTATCATAAAAGTTTCAAAAACTTTGTATGAATTGATTTGTGTTTTCAATTACAATATCGAATAGGCTCTAATGTTTTTGTTGGTAATTTATCATTACAGTATAGAACAGGATAAGTAAATATAATTTGAAATCATCATAAGTTATACAAATTATCTGTGAAGTATAATTCTAGATATAAAACACATATGCATCTGTGTCAAGCACAATTTTGTTTTGTTCTCTTCATTTATTTTATTGTATTATCTAATGCGTATATTACGTTAAGCACTGACGCCGTATCAAAATTTTTAGTATTATGACGGGACACCCTATATATATTCAAATGTTGTATGTAAACATATGTATGTATGTATAATTATATGCGTTACTTATACACATACATTTATATATAATAAAATGTTGAATAAAGTACGAAAATTACGTGATTTGAATGAAATATTCTTTTTAATAGTTTTCAAGTATAATAAAAAAAATTCATATGTACGTATGTATACATATAAAAAATTAACTATGATGGTTGACAGTTTTGTTGAAATACTTGCCAAAGTGTTAAAGAGAATGACTCTTTTATTAAAACATTTTTAACATTCTTTAATGCAAGCCTTATAATTTCTCTGATATAGGCGGTAATTAAATTTTTATTTTTATTAATAAAAAAATTTATTATACCTGATTTTGCTTCCGTTGGTTTTTTTTCAATTTTTTTGCAAAATAGAAACATTTAAGATGACATAAAATTTTTGTTTTTATGCTTTTTCTTTTTTTGATACAATTATTATCGGTGTATGACAGTTTTTGAAAATTTTTTTTTTATATAACTTCATAGTTTTAGTAAAATTCATTTAATGAATGGAATAATAAATTTTTTTGTTTTTATAATTTTAGGTTTTTTTTTTGGATAATTTTTTGATTTATGCAAATTTCATCTGTGATACATGAATTTATAAAGATGATTACAAGTTATTTGAACACTCATTTTGTATTGTTATATGCACTTTTTTTTTGCTTTTTTTGTTTTTTCGTAATTACTTCAGTTTATATACATAAAGTACATTTGTTAGGTCATTATTAATTTGATGGCGGTAAACTTAAATAAATTCCCTTATAACAGTTTTAAGTTCATACTATCAAAATGTCAAATAAGTCAATATATAATTGACTGTAACAATTTACTTGCATACATATTATTTTGTCAATTGAAATTCGAATTGTCAATAATTAAGAATGACATTTAATGTAAGAGTGTTTTCGAAGGGAAATTTATAATTAAATTAAAATTAATTGCATAGAAATTAAAATATTGTATTTAACTGGAATTGGGATTAGTTGCCAATTGAATATTTTATTATACTTGTCTTATGGGACGGAATTAATCAATATTCTAAAAATAACATTTGACTTATTTTTATAAAAGTTAGCTAGTAATATTTTCTAGTTCAGAAAGAAAAAAAAAATTAGTATTTCGATTTCTGTACAATTTTCACATCATTTCAGTAAATATATTTGTTCCCCTAAATATATGCAATCCTAATTGCTCTTCATACCAAACACTTTTATAAATACATATTTTATTTTTTAGAGAAAAATAGCTTAGATTAAATATATTTATTGCAAAATGCTGACATTTTTGGAAAATTTAATTAAAAATAAGTCTTGTTATGGAAATGGCGTCTTGCATTGTGAGGAAGGTGTCATAGAGTTATGAAAATTTGATAGAAGATGCTGTTCGTTGTTAATTATCTAAATCTAATACAATTTTCTTATGCGTTCGAATCGAGCTCCAATCCATGTAGCCATAGTGGCGAGTGGCATTTTAAATTTATTGTTAATTGAATTGTTAAAAAAAATTAGCTCTTACTTTTATATTATAAATTAATAAATATCGGGCTATTAACCAGAGTGAAAAATCTTCAAACACTAAATTTTATTATATTCCCAAAAATATTTTTTTATTAAAACCAAAATGCATCTAAAAATTGTTGTATGGGATTTCTAGGCTTTTTAAAATTAAATTATAAACTATACATACTGCTTATGTATGTAACATATGCCGATTTTATTTGCTTATAAAAACGTGACACTTCTTCCAAATTTAAACACATGAGGATGTTGTTATACATTTGCGTATTTTATTTTAGATTCCGTATAAGTTTTTCGTTGATATGTTTGCCAACAATAATATTGTTCTATTGTAAAAACAAAAAAAAATTTCTGTTATACATTGAAATTTATTAAATGGAAAGTTTTAACCGGTATAAAATAGTTAGTATAAGTAGTAAGAAAATGGAAAGTGTTTCTCGATTTAAAATAATGATGGACGTGATGCTTTAAACTTGTCCTATAAAATTAATTAAAATATTTAAGATATTTTTATATGGGTATTTTAACTTGCATTTTTAGCATACAATATAGGTGTGTAGGAAATTACTAAAAAATGCCAGTTGATATCATCTTGAAGAGCAAGTTGTTTACATAATGTAAGGAAATAAGGAAAACATAAAAAAAAAAGAAAAAATAAATTGGTAATTTTAAATAGATAATATCAAAATTTTTAATATTTTGATTATATGCTCGCTTATTTAAATAATTTTAGTTAATTTGTTATATAATTTTACAAAAAAATACTTTCCTATAGTTAAATATTAAGAATGTGAAGAATGCGTAACATCCGTTTCTCGGATTCAGCTAGAATTGAAGTGGGACTAGAATTTTATTCAGAAAAATTGTGAACTAGAATTAAAAATGTAATATAATTGTAAGAACTGTACTTAGAAAATATTGATAAATTTTTATATTGCTAGATCGTTGCCAGCACAGAAAATTTCTGTGCAAATTAAAGAGATTAACGCCTTTAGTAATTTCTTTAACTTCAAACAAAATCAAACGAAAATTTAATATAAAATTCTGCTTATCTGTTGGAAATTTAAATTATTAAGACGTGTAACCCTTCACAGTTTTCTAATTATTTAAGAGGAAATAAACTTACAAAATATTTATTACTAATTTATTGCGTTAAATGTAATGCAGTAATAAAAAGAACCATGTAGAAATGATCGTATCAAATATGTGTCTGACAATTTCAACGTGAATTCGGTTTTATTACTGATATAATGCTAGTTTTTTTTCTCAAACTTCTGAAACTCAAGTGCGCTTGAGATAGTATATGAAACTAATATATAGCATTAAGTCAATGACTTCGAAAATCACACATATATTGAACATTTTTTAATATTGATAAAAAAAAATCGAATAAAATCTTATAAGCCCCTATATATCTTTTCATAAATAAAAAAAAATGCAAAATTAAAACATAGTAGATTTGTTTTTTTTAAAGCAGTTTTTATTGCGTCATTGAAAATATATCTACCAGCAACAATAAAATAATTCGGGCAGACAACTTTTAAAGGCACGTACAAAATATGTATTTGTTCTTATATTCGTGTATGCACATGCCCTACGAATATTAAATATGCGGTAAAGAAAAACAATTTTTACTTTCTCTTGACTTTACCTATATTAAAATGTAGGCTTAATTTTAACACGCACCCATCTTATGGATGCTTTAGAATTTAAATTTTCACAGAATGAATGTAAATAAAATATAAAGACAATTTTTATTTTAAGGTGGGTGAAATTGTAAAAACATAATAAATTGAGAATATTATTTTTAAAAATTATTAAAATTGTTTTATGTTGGAATGCCAATAATATTTGTAATAAATTTACATGCAGAGTATTTACATACAAGCATATACATACAGTTATACAGAGTATATACATATATACATACTATAAATAAATATATACATTTAGTATACACATACATATATTTAGTATATACATAAACAATTTTACGTAGTATCATTACAAATAATTTAATGGCAAAGGGTTACTTACGATATTTTAAATTTGTTCATCCAAATTAGGAATGAAAAATGTACATTGGCCCTTTTGGAATTAAATTGTGAGTATATTAATTACCAGAAATTTTGATTCAAGATTCATATATGGTTTGTAGTCAAACACTTAAGATAAATTTCAGTTAAAGAAAATATCTGTGATACGAATCTATAAATATTGAATAGATATACTGGTACATAATTTTATACAAACTAAAATTTTATTGGTTCAAAAGGACATGAATGTTTTCAATTTAATGCAACATCGACTAGCCTGATACAAAATTTTGCGCTTTGCCTAACATTTAAATGTACATACGTCAAGGCAAATAATTTAATTTATTTTTCTAAAACTTTTATTAAAAAACGTAAAGAAAAAAAAACATACAGAATGTGAGTCTATGTGGTAGATTTTTATTATAAAATATTTTCGAATGACTATTTTAAATTTACTGCTTTTTTAAGAAAAGGATATTTTCAGCTTATTTGTTAAAATCACGAAACATTCAAAATAATTTCGATTCAAACTCATTGCTCCGAAACGACAAAAAATAATAATTTTTGGGAGTTAAAAGGACAAATAGGATTTCTTAGACAATAAGAAGCAGTTTAGACAAAATCCGTTCAACTGAAAAAGCAAATCTTAAGGTTATAACTGGAAAAATAAAACATCTTTACATTCAATTGGTACGTGAAGCACCTAAAGCTTTTACCATTTAAATTATTTCCGCTTCTTCAAAAAAACCCAAGATTTTTTACAAAATATTCTTTAATTTGTTTATAATCCATTTTTTGATAAATTTTTAAATCTATTTTAGTAAATCAACCTAATTTAAATAAATATTTTAATAAAAGCACACAACTTTTACTACAAAATTAACTTTTATTTCAATATAATTTCGTTATATTTTTCAGTCACTTTAAGGCTTTTCATCAAATTTTATTTAACATGAATGAAAATTATGATTCCGCAATTTGTTTTTTTCTTTTTTTTTTTCATTTTACAATATAATTATGCAATTTTGTTTTTAGGTACATTTTACAAAATGTGTGTACAAAAACGTTATAAAATAAAATTTACATATCATTTTTTAAGATATGTACATACAAATGTGTGTTTTTGTTTTTCATTCTATATAAAATTAAAATTTAGAAAAAAAATTATTGCTTTTTTTTTTAAATCTCTCTAAATTTTAAAATGTTAATTAATACAATTATAAGCAGAAAAAGCATTTTCGACTCGCGGATGGATTCTTGAGATTAATTGTGAATTTTACATTTTGTTTCTCTAAATTAACATTACATTTACATTATTGCTTCATAAAAAAAATATATCTGTGTGTATTCATTATTGTATAAATATTAACAAAATATAAAAAAAATATTAACATTTCTAATAAGCTTTTTGTTTAAGCTTCTTTAAGAAATCTCTTGCTTGTTTATCTCCTTGACGATGTTCTAAGGCACGTAAGCAGTCTGTATCTAAAATTGAAAGAAAGAAAAAAATTGAACAAATGTAGTCAATTCATTATTCATTTAGATGGTTTTATTTAGTCTACACTAATATTATGGATATATATAGGCATATATGCATATACATAAGAGCATAATATAAGTGTAGTCACATATTATGTTATGTAGATTTGTTCTTTTTATGTTTACCTTTATATTCAGGTCTGCTAAGACCTAAGTGAATTTGTTCATCGGGAGTAGTTTCAAAATCTGCAAATGTTAAATAAGCTTCCGCAATATACTGATTAGACATTCCAAATAAATCTTTATCCTTAATACTAAATACCATTATAGCATTGCTCATTTTGCGTTGTTCATCAGAAAGAACTCTAAAAATAAAAATTTAATAAATAAGTAATGACATCAATAAAAATTTTGCATTTTAATATTAAAAAAATCTTTAAATGTTTTCTTTTTAAGCGCTAAACCGAAGTGGACGTGATATGCGGGTTGCGGTTGTGAAAAAAAAAATTGTCGCATGTATTAAATCGAAATTGCAAATAATAAGGCGATAAGTTTGATTACCATTCACTGAGTCCAATAAGGTCAAGCACCAATAAGGGCTGATTTTTTCACGGATTGCTTTTTTTGAATTTTTATTTATTACAGTTGAAGCACTATTAGTTACAGTTTTCAATGTAATACTGATTCAGATTAGCTTGCTCTCTGGCCAGTAAAAAACTGATAATCTAACACTGCTTCCAACATGCTAATTGGGAATATATATTTACGAATAAATAAAAATTCAATGAGCATTTGATTCATGATTTAAAAACAAAACTTAAAAAATTAATCTTTATAATTTAAAAATTTTATAAAATATTAAAAGTAATTGTAAAATTAACTAACATTGTAAACTTTTCATCATATAAAGGATATAATGTTTTATTTTGTGTTGATGTTTTTGGTGTAGATACTCCTAAAAATTTATCAGATGGCATAAAATGCACTTTAACAAATGAATCACATGATCCATCTGAATCCATCGGTACTAAATTTCTTGCATTCATTATTTCCAAATGTAAAACATTTGATACAAAACGTCCTCGTACTGTTAATTGTCCATATGGATATTCTTGCATTTTTCTTTGGTCTTCCAGTCTTAGTAGGTAATACTGATGAATTAATTCTGCTGTTTCAAAAGCATGTAATTCTAATAATCTTTCAATATTTTCCAATGTTTCTTTATCTGATGTTGTACAACTATTTGATATCTTAAAACTATTTACCATTACATGCAATGTATCACGTAAATTTGAAAAGAATGATGGTGGACGACGTTTTTCTAAATTTGCTTGAACTAATTCAAATAAAATAACAGAAATTTCACACCATATTGCTTCCAAAATTCTTTCAAAATTAACTTCATTTAATTCAGCATTTAATGTTGATAATGCATTTTCTAAATACATCATAATACGATCCATTGAATTTGAATCTTGATGTAAAATTTCAGCTCCTTCTGTTAAAAATCTTCTCATAGCAGGTGACATTTTACGTGCAACTTCTTCAATTAATTCAATAATTTTATTTCTTTCAGTATCAATAGCATTTTCAATAACATTTTTTATAGTGGCAGAACAACGTTGTGCTTCTAAATCACTCCGATATTCACCGATTTTCACAATAATTTCATCGGCACCTAATTCCTAAAAAAACGCATATAAAATGTTAGATTTATCTATGTTAATGTTGCACTGGGAGAAAAGCTGACTTACTTTAATAAAAGGATTCAAACTTTGTCTAATATAATCAATATTATTTATAGCTAAACACCATTCTCTAGTTACTTCAAATTTATCTCTATTATTGATGTGGAAGTCAATTTCTTCAACTCTCTTGGACATTCTGTCAGCATAGAACACACAGCATCTGCAGATGTCCTAAAAGTGAAATGTTTTTAAAATGATATACGTGCATACATAAAACTTTATGGTTCACTCACGACATAGTTCCAGTTAATTTTTTTAAAATAAATAAATAAAACTTACATCGACAATTTTTGAAACAAATATATAAGCTCCTTCAGCATCTGGCCAACCAAGTTGTTGCCAAAAAATTTTTATTTGATAAAAAATTGCTAATGTATCAACAGCTGATGAACTATATTTTACAGTTTCATCAACAGGCACTAATTTATCCAGATCTATTGCTTTTTCAATTCTAGTTAAAGCTTTATATACTGAAATATCTAGCCAATGTGAAACTCCAGTTGTAAACCAATCGTGATACTTATTAATAGATAAATTATCATGTCCTGGGCACATTGCTGAGCCTAAAGTTGTGAATCGTTTGAGTACTAAGTACAATTCAAACAAAGTTGTTCCCATATTGATTTCTTCATTCTCTGGTAACTTTTCCCATCTATCTTCTGATACATTTAATCTCTTAATATTTCTACAAACTTCTTCAACAATTGGCTGAGCGTATTCAGCTAATTTCTTTTCATAAAATAAATAGAGTGTTTGCGCATAGTTGAAATGCATTTTTCTAAAAATATTTAAAAAATTTCAAAGTAAATTTTAGGGTAAATAGAAAATATATGTACATGACTGTGTGCAAACTTACTGTTTAAATATTTTATCATAATATTCAATTGCTTGTTGTAAATCAGTCCTAACAAGTTGAGTAAGTTTAATTAAGTGTTGCAATTGGTCCTCTTCATTTCCCTTAGTAAAGTTACTAACTTCATTAATGTGCTCAAACCATTCTAAAGCACCTGATTTTACTGAATCACGTAATGCACCCCTTATATCAAAATTAGGACTGGAATCATCTGAATCACGTACAATCCATCCATAAATATTTTTTGGTAATAGATCAGTACCTGGTGGCGGTTCTAACATTGCTATTTTTGACATAATATCCAAAACTTCATTTAAAATTTTAAGACCATGTTTATCACCAAATAGTTTTTGTCTAACTTTACGTATTATTGAAAAACATGATGGTAATAAACGTTTTGCACCTTCCCAAAATAATTTCACTTCATCATCATCATTTGGTAATGTTTGTAATGTTGGAATAATTTTATCCAATAATGAATTAAATAACGAAAATGATAAATGATGCTTTTGATTGATTTGTGCAAATACAGACCATTGTGCCATAGCACAATCCGTTACAGAAAGTCCACTTTGTGCAGAATGTTGTGTTAATATTGCTTCACCTTGTGTACAAAATTTTCCTCTCCACCAATATTGTGCTACTTGTGATGTTTCTAATTCATGCATTAATAAAATTTTTAAAAGATGACGATGTTCTTGTGCCGCAACACGATTATTCTTTTCTGCACTAAAACTCATATGTATTAAAACGGAACCGCGACTATTTTTTGAGTTTTTTCCATTTTTATCTAAACTATACCAAACTCTAATACCTGAAGCTGGAATCGACTAAAAAATTAAAAAAAAATTATCATTCATTTAATTTTGTTTATGTTATTTTTGGTATAGGGATTGCATACTTTAAGTGGTATTGATGTTCTTCCAATTAGTTCGTTATCATGTTTACCCGTCGAAGCTGTCACAGCTATTTCCTTCATCAATTTTCTAAAACCTTTGATTCCTTTAACTTCAAAAACTTTATTCATTTTTTCTCCTACTGTTTCTGCAGCATCAAAATCCCTAAAATATTGTAAAACAAAAATCAACATTAAAATGCAACAATTTTGAAATGTATTATACAATAGGCTTACCAAACTTCTAAAACTAGAACTTCACTATTTGGATTGTCTGAAATTGGTCTGAAATTTGAAAAAAAAAATGATAATTTTTTGACTAAACGAAAAAATATGAAAAATCTTACAGTGAAAAATGTTCTTCCCATACTGGATTTAATGTGGCTGACTTGACTGAGGTATTATAACGATGTGTTGAAAATGATTCCAAATACATTGTCACAAATGGATCAGATAAGCCATTTGAATCTTTTGGCATTAAATTTTCAGCTTTTATTATTTCAACATTTAATCTAATTTCAGATGGTTGTTTTGTTTCTGCTGATGTGAGTATTCTTTCATGAACATCATTTGGAATTTTAAAAGCATCTTGAACATATTCCAATAAAGCCGTTTGGCAAACATCATCTGATGTTTCACAGCCAATATTATGTAAAATCTCGTGAAGGACTTCCTCATATAATTCTTCAATCTAAAAAATATAAAATACAATAATTTTAATTTATAATTAATTTCGATTTTCGGAATATTGATCTATCTTTGGTAATGAATTTCAATGTTATAATTTATATCGATTTTTGATACTTTCAAGTGATACGTCAATTTTTGTGTAAGTATACCAAAAAAATTTTAAAATTTTAATTCTATTAAAATTAATTATAATGCGGCTATTTTATATTTATAATGTTCAATAAAAATTATTGAGAAAATTTAATTTTGTTTACCCATTAATAAAATTGAATTTTCGTATAAAATTTAAATAAAAATAGAAATTTTTAATGCAATTTTAAACTGGAATTTTATCGCAATTATTTGAAAAATAATCGCTGCCGCAATCTTTTGTTTGCCATACCATGCCGCCGTTCAGAATAATGCAGATAATTCACATTGGATTTAATAGCAATCAAAGTGAATAATTCGATTTTATTTTCGTTTTTCGTTTGTTTATTTTAAATATGGAAGGAAAATAAAAATAAAAAAATTTTTTACACAAAGTGAGAAATTGTGCAAAGAATTAGGAAGTGACAATTTTAACATGTAAACTAAAAATAGTCAAATATGTATTTGACTTTTTAAAAATGACAAAAAAAAAATTTTTTATTAGATTTTAGTTTTTATTAATTCTACAATATTTCCTTAGATTATGGTCAAATAAAGTTTCATTAAACCAATTTTTTGTAAAAAAAAAGTACTTTTCCTTTGAAAAAGCGTAAATATTGCTTTAACCGTAGCAGGTTGTCTTATTTAATTGTAATTGACCGTAGCAGACTGTCTTATTTAAATTACTTTTATTCAATTACAAAAATATATAAAGTTATTGCATACTTTTAGGTTGAGGAGAAGAGAAGAGTTGACAGAAGGGTTGTGATTGAATTGGACGATTAAGTCGGTGAGTGGCATGATATTCACCGTTACCTTTTTGTTTTTAGAGAAATCTGAAAAAGTGTGCAGCTTCGGAAATATAAGGCGCAGCTAATTCGAATTTTACAAATTTTGAGAGACAATAACTTATGAGAGGTTACAGATAGAAAAAAATTTTTCTTTTAGGTATATAAATTTTTTGTTAATGCCTAAAAGCTATTAAATTTTCAGACTCTTTCCTCTCAAAAATTTGAAAAAAAAAAAACGTTCTGAAAAATTTGAAACAAAAACGTGCTTTAGGTAACGGTTAATTTTGACAGCCATTTCGTTTTTTTAATATTCAATTATACTGTGCCGTGATAGAAGAAGCATCCCGCTATACCTTTCTGCTTTTGCGGAATTGAAAAATGGTTTTGGTTTTGGCACAAGAAATTGTCGAAAAATGGTATTTTTAAGCTTTCTAGGGCTACACCTTTTTTATATAAGGCGAAATTGGTAAAAATTTTCTTCTATCTCAAAAGTGCCAAAAAAAGAGATTTCACGTTTTGAAACACATTTTAGACAATCATACATTTCAGTAAATTTATACTTCAGATTTAATATCCCAAACGAAATTTTTAAAAGCAACGAAAGAAAAAGGAATACAGATTTTAATTCGAAAAACATAGTTCTGAATTTATTCTGGACTCAATTACCATTTGCATATGTAGAGGAGCGGAAACATATTTTCTACATGTATGTTATTCTACATAATTTATTATTTACATCTGTAGTGATTACTGTATTTATAATTCTGCAAATTTGAATATCACGAATAATAATGCACGTAAGTGCAGTAATAATACTGCAATTTGAATATCACGGTCACTATAATTTAGACTACTCTTAAAAAAAGGAAAACAACATCCGCTATTGATGCTGTCTTGCATATAAGTTTATATTACATAAAAAGAACCACAATTTAAGCTCAATACCTCACAAAATGCTCTTCTAACTACAAATTTAAGAACAGTTATAAATAACATTAATATTATTTATAGATGCTATTAGGTTTTTACATCCTACAATATACAATTACATATTAATTAATGACCACACCATCAGAATAAATGTACACTTAATTATTATCAAGCAACATTTCAAGAATAAATTTAATTATTACTTTGATTAATTAATTTTCAATGTAATAATTATAGCATAGCTGCTCAAAACTTTATCATAAACAACTCAAAAAATTTTAGGTTACAATAATTTCAAAGATAAATTATTGACTTTTAATCACGCTCAACTAATTAATGCTCAGAATATGACGGATAATTATAAGCAAAAATATATATTCTTTTCATCTTCAATTCAGAAAAAAAACAACAAAAACTAAATAATATAGAATAATAGTGTCATTACCATTATATTTAATTTTGCATGTGTCAGTCAACTTTTATTGCCAAAAAAAAAAATTTGAATTTAATTTTAAAAAAATTTGAAGAAAAAAAAAAAACCTTTTTAAAGAGAATGAAAAACGTCAACCTGCCGCCCACCTGAGAGAGAATCCAAGAGAAAATTAGAAGAAAAACGCATATTTTGAGCACAAAACTAAACAGATTAAAACAAAAAAACAAAATAAAAAAATAAAAAAAAAAAAAACAGAGCAAATAAGAGGAGAAAGCGGAAATATTTCTCGATTGGATTACTTAGTTCTCATACTTAAATTTAAAATATTCGATTCGACCTTCCTTAATGATCTTAAACATTTATTAGATATAGCTAATAACAGGGTTGCCAATTGTTTAAAATTTACTTTTAATTTTAAAAATTCAATTTTTTGTTTCCATATACGTATATAATTTTGTACTCGTACGTATATAATAAAATTTTAAAAAATGAAATTAGATTTTCACAAATAAATTTTAATAACAATATTGACGTCAAATATTGTGAGCAAAATTGAGCAAAATTGGAACAAAATTTGATCTACTGTGTAGATCTAATAATAGAAGCATATAATATTATATACCTATACAAGGAATGCCCGTGAGAGTATTGACAGTATAAATATTATTTATAATATATTAAATTAATATACATAACAGTATAAATTCAATAAAATTTATCACAATATTACAACCGCCGATTTAGACATGTAATTAGTTTCCAATGGTTCTTCTAGATTGGAAATAAATTATTTTCATTAAGTACAATATAAATTAAGAAAAAAAGTCTATTTTAGCTGAGAATAACTAGTCAACTTAAATATAAAATGTTATACAATGCCCAATATTTTTCACAGTCTCTCAAATGATGAAAATATATTGCACGTGATTGATTTCTGTTATTATTAGAGATTATTAAATTATTGTTATTATTATTGTTAGAATAAATTATCTATACTTTTATTTTGTTTTCTAGAAAATATATTTTATGATTTTTCTAATACCAAATTAACTGTAATGCAAAGTTGTCTACAAATTTTATTAAAATTTTTTTTATTACGTATTAAAATAAAAATGAAACGTTTTTATATTTAAAATTACGAGTAAAATAAATCTCAATTTATTTCATTATTAAATCATTGCATATACAATAATCATAATAAAATAATTTTTATCGTCATAGCAAAAATAATAAAATTTCTTATTTACCAATCACTGTAAAAAAATGCGTTTAAAATATTGTAAGAACAAGCTAAGCAATGGAATGGTAAAATTACTGGAGAATCAAACAGAAATCATAAATATCAATTTTGGCCCAAAAAAAAATTAATTATTAAGAGCCTAAGATCGCCTATCTCGCTATTTTAGTAGGCAAGTGAGAAGAAAGTGAGTAACTACCATATATTTGTATAATGCAATTTTCGAGTGAGAAGAATTATTTGGTATTGCGTATTTCGCTTTTTAATAAAATGTATACAAAATTTGATCACTTTGTTTTTGAAAATGTTCAGTCGGTAATTTGAGAAAAAATACTAAAATCCAATTGAAAAATTTAGTAACTTAATTGGAAAAATGAAGTATCCATTAGAAAAAAGGAGAATTCTGGAAAATTAAGTAAAATTTACTTTTCTCATTCTTATATAGAGTAATATTGCTCTTCGTAGAAGCAAGTTTAACTGGTAAAAATAAATTTTGAAATAAATTTTCTTGATATTTAAGAAATTATTTACTTCCGTTTTTTGGATTTTTGCTATTTTAATAATGGTTTTTCCATTTCAATTACAATTTTCGTGTAGAATAATAGGAATAATAATTGAAGGAAACAATAAACACTTCAATTAAGGACATTTACCAAAATGCATACATACATAATGACAATTTGATTTATTTTCACTATTTAAGTTGCTAAATAAATCGATTTTTCTTTAGATCGGCATTTTGATAGATGGCCTAACAAAGTTTTTTTTACAGTGACAGTTATTAATTTCTATAATTAATTTGTTTATATTATGTATATATAAACTTACCGTCATAGTATGACATATTAATTTTGTTTGAGTATCTAAGACATCTTTATGTATACCACGAAAACAAATTTTTGATATGCTACCATTACGATTAAATGTTCGTCGACGTTTAATAATTTCTGATTCTAATCTTGAACTTTGTCGAGTATTTCGATTATTTAAACTTAAATATTTATAATTGACTGGTGCAGTATTTTTATTATATGCACTGCCACCATTTATAAGACGTGGCAATGATAATGAACTCATAATGATTTCTTTAATATATTTTTTTCTTTATTTATGTATATATAGATTTTTTATTCAAATGTATATGTTTTTTTTTTAATTAAATATATTTTATAAAAATTTTATATGTATATTATTTTTATGTTTAAATATTATTTTATTTTAAAGGTGTTTATTTTAATTTATAATTGTTGCACAAAATTTTATTTTTATTTAAATTAAGAAAATATTTAGAAACCTTGCTCGACTTTTTAATTTTTTAGGTTTTTTTTTTTTTTTATTTTATAATTTATATTTTATTATTTTTAATTTTATTAATAATATTTTGATTCACTTTATATGTAAGTAGAATATAGAAAAAAATTTATAAATAATTTTCTAAATGAACCATAATAATATTTTTCTATATTATTTTATGTAAAAAT